GGTCACCGGCTCAACAATAGTTTAGTATTTTGCTCACAAGTAACAAACATACACAAAGTTACTGGCCAGGTCTTCTCTTGCTAGGTTTGCGACTCTGGCGAGTTTTGTGCAACTCACGGGGGTCTTGAGTCGCAGGGGTCGCAGGGGTCGCAGGGGTCGCAGGGGTCGCAGGGGTCGCAGGAGGCTTGCAAATCTTGAAAAGGGGCTGCAACTTAGCACGCGTTACTAAAACATCATGCCAGTCAGTGAAGGGAATGAGCAGCTTGGGATAGTTAAGATGTCCGTACGCCATATGATGAGCTGCTGGAGTATTGTTATTGTCTGACAATGCCGCCGCCTCGTCATTCGTCATTGAAGAAGTCGACGTATTAAATAACATAGCCAAATGGTGGTTATGTGCAGTATCATAGATGCTGGTGAATTGGCAAACCATTTTGTCACGAGCCTTTAAAGATGCTGATGGCACCATAGGGAACCTCAAACCCTTCAACCCTGTGATGATTTTACCCAAGTCGGCATTGGTAACTGACCTATGATGAAGATCCAGCTTAGCAACAACCCTCAGAAGAACCTCCCGCTCATCCTCTGATTCTGTCAATTCTGTCAATTCCTTTGAAAAGGGAGATTCTTGCTCGAGCTTGGTAAACCTTTTAACCATTTCTCTACGAGCTAACGCATACTTGGAAGGTGTCAGCCTGTACGTCTGGCCTTTCATACTCGCGATAAGCTGGGGCAATATAGCTATAGTAACCGGCTTGTCAGAGGACAGTATCGTAGTTCTAAAGGCTGCATCAAGCACTCTCCAATCAGTATTGTCCGGCCACCACAGATAAGCACCAAACAATGGCAGATTCAGTGCCCGGGCATTGTCGACTAGCCGAAGGATCTGTACTTGGCAACCTTTTTGTGCTGAATTGCTGAAGAGGTAATTGTACCTATTGTACCACACCTGTGACCAAGATCCTTCAAGTGGACGGCCATGCTGTCCATCCTCTGACTGTACATACGGATCAAAGTAAAACTTTGCGAAATCAGCAGTGTTCATCCTCCTCAGCATGTCTGGCATGGGATTGTTTAGACGTCGATGGATCGCTGAACGCCAGCTGTACAGTAGCAGTTTTGCCCAAGTCGGTACAGGGAGGGCAGCACGATCTGGATAAGCGAGTCGATGGAAGTGTGTGGCAGCAATGTGGACTTGCTGTAGCTGCACCGCATAGTACGTGCAATTGAAGTCGATAAAGCTGTAGATACCTCTGCAGTCTGTTAGCTCAGCCTCGTCAGCAACATTGGGCAACTGCATTACTGGCCCCCGAATCAGTCCTTTAAGTCGCTCAGTCATATTTGGGGCTGTCCAAAGAGTGATGGGCGTGAACTCGATCAAGTGCTGTAGCCTTGGCGTGATATATGCATCGATTGCTCTCGCATGGGAGTGATGGTCTGAAAAGGGACGGCTAGTGTGGTAAGCACCAGTCAACAGGTTACCCAAGCGTATGTTGACAAACAGGCTATAGTCGATAACCTTGCCCTTGCCCTTTCTCACTTTGCCACTCTTGTTTGCTTTATCGCTCAAGAGAGTGATATTGCCAAAATATGCACCAAGATATGATATCATATCACCATCGGCAAGTGGTTTGATTGAAAAATCCAGGCATTCTACACACGGTGTAGTGGTGAAATTGTGGCCGATAGAAAGGGCTTGGGTCTTGCTCAAGTTAAAGCCAATACCAGTTGCATCGCTAAACAAGTCCAGAGCTGTACGAATGGTGGGGAAATGGTTGCTGCCTGATGCCGTAATAACCACGCTGCTCCCATGGCAAACATGCGACATTACCCCCATGGGCAAATCAATGTAGGCTGCTTGGAGCAAACCCCCGCTGTGCAATGAACACCGCAACAACTCCATAGCCATGATAAAGAGAATCGATGAGAGTGGGTCATCCTTGAATACGGAGGCATTTCTGTCAAATGGCTCGGCTCTATCACTGCCTGCCAAAATCCCAACAGGCATCGACTCAAAAAGTGCACCAGCTGCTGCAATAAAAGTCGGCGGTAGGCAATAGTTGCACAAGAGCTGTGATATTATCGCAAAAGAAAAGCGGCCATCGACCCTGGCCTCATCCAGAAACAGGAACAATCCCCTTTTGCCCATGTTCTGCATATAGCACTGAGCAGTCATCAACGTGTTGATAGTGTCGTGCACATGGCGACCCGGGAGCGCTGCCGACTGCTCAGGTGAGATTAATGGAGAAAGGGCATGGCTGAGTCACTGCGTTAAAATTTCTGTGATAATGTGATACTCAATGTTGTAATGAGAAACGTGCAGGCTGCTCATCGGATGGCTGCTGGCATAAGGAATAATGTCGCAACCAGAGACAAAATCCTTAGTGACAAGCTTGGGTTTTGCCAACACATAGTTGGCCAGCTTACACAAAACAACACGAGCTGCCTCACTAGATGTAAACAGCTTGATGGGCATGCCGTTCTGGCCAGGGTTTGCATGGCTGACAAGACGGTTGCAGGCAGCATCGATTTCGTCCTGCTTGATGGGTGCAGCTGTATGTGCCATCATAGCAGCTGTGGGCGAAGTCCCAAGCGATTCAAGGTACCTGCGGTGCAGTGCAAATAACTCGTCCATTGCGGCTGTATTGCGTGAAAGAGGCATATTAGTGCCAGAATTGGGTACAGCAGCAACATCAGTGACTCCTAGCCCAAAGTTGTTGCTCCAATTCGTGTATATTATCTCACGAATCTTAACAAGCAACTTTTTGTAGGTTACAAATGGCTGGGGCTGGGGCTCAAGCAATCCAGCATATTCGAGCAGATTGGGAATATCGGCACCTGTGAAAGCCAAGTTGATTTTGTCAATAGTCGCTGAATTATCCAGGATACCGTAGTCGAGATGAATGCCAGAAAGGAAGCTCATGGCGCTAGGCACTGCTTTGGCAGCAGATGCTTTCATCGAAGCCAGCATATACATGTTCCAGATCGTCAAGGATATCTGGTCATGGTCGAAAGATGTGTGGACACAACCAGTTGGTCTATGCAAGTAAGCCGCCCTCTCAGCCAAGTCAGCGGGCACAAGAAATAGGTCGATTCGGGAGACATAGCCAAGATGTTTAGCTCGATCAATGTCCTTGGCATTGATATCTGGGGCTTTAGTCAGTGGCTTCGTAGTGAATGTAAGATGGCCATTCATGAGTAGATTGGCAGGCTCCAGCTGAGCACCAATGTCGATGAGATTTAGTTGTGAGCACAGCTGAAAAATGCAATTGCGACTCCTATTGGACTTGGTACCCCTGTGGCGGTCGTTGGCCATTGGCGCAATATTGAAGTCACCACCGATGATAATCGTCCACCCCTTGCTCTTATAACATAAAAGCAGCAAGAGAAGTGCATCGAAAAAGTCATATCGCTCCTGTCCATCGACTGACGGCCCATGTACATTCACAAGAAGAAGACCCAACCCCTTAATGCAAACCAAGGTTTGGTGACTCAAGCTGGCTTCATGCAGCTGCGTGGCATGCTCAAAATGAATATTCTTATTGTGGAGGATAAGAATGGCTGTATCATATTCTCCCTGTGCTGGCTCGGAATTCGTCTAAATTATAATACAAGGATGATTGACACTTTTATAATATGAATGTTTACCAAATGTCATTACATACTCATCAGAAAACATTAAAACTTACCTTGTGCAATGCGCCGATACCACCAACAAAGGGCTTGTATTTGCCTAGGCCCAACTCTAGCAATTTAGTCGGGTTAGAACTGCCCTGTATCTCCTGAACAAAGACAAATTCAGGCTTCGGGTCAAGCTCATCGATGCGCGTACTTAACGGGGACAGCTTTAACCCCTTGCCTCGGCTACCCTGCCCCATGCCACGCAGGTTCTGGCTCATAAAAGTCAGGGATGGCATGCAGGCATCAACAGCCTTGGTAGGAGAGATGATGTCTACAGACAATGTTTGCTTCTCTGGACAATGAGAGACAGGCATGGACGTGTTATTACCGGCAGACATGATAAAAAATAATGTATGGATAATTAAAAAGTTGAATTAAAAAATAAAGGAAGAAGAAATGGTATTTTTATTGATACTGTTGTGATGTTAAGTCGTGAGCGTAAATAAGGAGAATAAGCATAGAGTATTTGTTGTTTTTAAAGTGTATAAAAGTGTGAACAACTAAATCACAAGTCCTTGTGCCGCTAGCTGCTGTTTATATAGCCTTTTCATCACCTTCTTCCACAGTACCATATAGCTCTTGCCTGCAAGTCTAATGTCAGCTGTATTCTTTTGCTTGGCGACAGTCGGTTGCTCCGCTAAATCCTCACGTGTTGGTAGATCAGCTCCGTGGTCCGCGCTCTTATTAGAGTAAGTGGTCTGGCCCTTGTGTGTATCAGCTGACCACCCCTTAGCCTCACTGGTAGGGTCCACATGGTTCCGTTCCGCCTCACGTGGCACAGAACCACGTGTAACAGTGACTCCCTCAGGAGGCTCAGATGCATACGGCTCATCTGGTGACTCTTCAACGTCGACATCATCATCATCATCACCGCCTTGACATCTATCAAGAGAACATGTGCAATGGTTCTCACACGCCAACATTTTAGCTATAAAACCCGACTTTTTCTCTAGCCTTTTATTTTCAGTTTCCTTACAATTAAAAACTTCTTCAAATCTAAAGTATACTCTCCCTTTTAGCGTACCTTTTATACGCCTTGTTTTTCTTTTCTTTCTTGTGCACTGTTTATGCACATCCCCCCCCCCACCCACACGTAACAACATAAAGAAAGGAAAAGAAGTATCATGCTTATCGTAAATCTGAAGTGTTTGTTATCCTTTATTTCAATGAGACAATAATTGGGGAAATGAAATTTTTTAATAAAAAATGTAGTGGGGTGAGAGGGTAACCTGGTCGTTGGTGAAACTTCAAGCTTTGATTCCACATAAGGCACCCCCTGCAATCGCCAATCCCAACAAAAAAGGGGGGGAAAAAGAAATTGATCAGAGTGGGACTCGAACCCACGCCTCTTTCGAGACCAGCGCCTTAAGCTGGCGCGTTAGACCACTCCGCCATCTGACCATCTGTTTTGGACTAGCTCCAGAACCTGCTGATATTCGGTACTCTGAATATGCATCCATATACGTAATTCTCACTGGTCCTATTATTGCCTGCGCCTGCGAAATATATGCCTCAATGCGCCGTTCACAGCGGCGGAGATTGAGGCAGCGATTGATAATTCCCCTCTCGATAAAGCGCCAGGCCCCGACGGCCTGACTTTTGAGTTCTACAAGCAATGGCCAAGCGTCTCAGCCCGTATCCTGGCGGACGTAGCGAACCGATGCTGGGACGCAGGGATCGTGCCCAATTCGTGGAAGAAGACGACAATCGTCCTCATCCAGAAGAAAGGCGACCTGCGCGACCTCGGCAATTGGCGGCCCATCTCTCTATCGAATACTGATGTCAAAATTATCACGCAAGTCCTCACGGCACGACTGCAACGGGTTATTGGCCACCTCATCGACCCACAGCAGACCGGCTTCATCAAGCGCCGTTCCATATTCGACAATATCCACACGGTCCATCTACTAATCGAATGCGGAAAGATAGACCCGGCTCTTTTCTTCGGCGTCCTGCTGCTGCTAGACCAGCGGAAAGCATACGATCGTGTGGACTGGGAGTATCTGGACCAGTGCATGGCTCACTGTGGCATCGGAGAAAGATATCATCAACTGGTATTCTTGATATACAGAGGGAGTACAGCGGATGTGAGGTTTGGTTCATGGACAGCGATGGGTATACGGATTTGCCAAGGCCTATGGCAAGGTGACCCGCTATCGCCGCTGCTCTACAACCTCATTGCCAAACCCCTTCTCTGCTACTTCCATAACCACCTAGTGGGAATCAAACTGCCTGCTTACACGTTCCGTGCCATTGCTTTTGCCGATGACATAGCAGTTGCTCTCTCATCGGAGAGGGATGTGGCAACGTTCCATACGGTGATAGACTTACACAGCCAAGCCTCAAACGCCAGACTTAATGACGACAAGACGGAGATGTTGCATATTGGCAACTCTTCCTTGGTGCCTCCTGGCATTCCGATTCTCCCAGACTGCGCCGTTATCAGATACCTGGGGATTTATTTCTCCAAGGATGGTGTCGCCACAGGGCATATGGAGGGCCAGTTGATCGAGAAGATCCAGGCTCAGATCCAGCACTGGCATGACTGACATCTCTCGCTGTATGGCCGTGTGCTCCTAGCGAACTCGGTCCTGATGGCGAAACTCTGGTACACAGCACGCATCACGCCTTTCTCTGAAATCTTCTACGCCCAAGTGAGGACGTGCTTACACGAGTTTATATGGAATGGGCAGTGCTCCAAAGTCACCTGGGACGTCGTCATTCTGCCCAAAAAGCAGGGTGGCCTTGGGCTCCTACCATTCAAAACACAAGCACAGGCTATCTTCGCTCAGTTCACGACTAACATGTTCCGCCAAAAAAATCCTCCTTGGTGGGCGGCCACGGCACAGTGGGCTTTCGACCAAAGGCTGGGCCAAAAGAACATGCACTCCTCGGACCTTCTCACACTCGCACAGCCCAAGCAATTCCCTAAGGGCTTACCTGCTTTCTGGGACTGAGTCCTACGCAGCTGGTTTGCTATCAAGGGTAAGGGCCCCGACGGCACCTTCACTGGCAGCATTGAGGCCCTATTGGGTCTGCCTTTCGACCACCCAGCGGTATACCTCCTAGTGAATATCTCCGCCATGGTATGGAAGAAGCTGCGAGTGAACAAGCTCTTTACTTTAGATGACGTCTTCGAGTGCTATGAGCTGACTGGTGCAGCAGTATCGCGAGACGACCCTTTGCTTCATCCGTATGTGCAGGCATTCTGCCAGTACAAGATTAACCTTCATCCACACGTCACCCGCAAACTCCTCGACTACCCACGCGAGCCGAATAGGCGCGCT